CAGCTTATACGACGAAATAACGTACGTAATATTAAAAAAAATCAACTAGGAACTATATCATCTAAAATTAAATATCGATTCGGAAATTTCTGACTTGTATGAACTGTCAACAAAGACACGACTTCAAATCTAATCTACTTACGTCGCAGAGACTGTTGTAATTGGATTTATCTACGAATTTATGTCAAAATTTTCCTCCTGTGGTACAAAAATACGCAGGAAAATCGAGCTTGCGCTCGCTCTAGTTTGATGAGCTTATTGAAGGGAAAAAGTTTCAAAATTAAGTAATTAAAGTCGATTTTAATTAATTAGCGAGTCGATAAAACAAACACCGGAAAAAGCAGCTAGCGATTTTAGTAAATGGAGGCAGCTTTTTCAAGCTAAAAATCTAGTAGAAGTTTGTGTTTATCAAAATTCGCACAATAACTCATGATTAAAACCATTTCTGAAGAGGAAGTTTTTTTAATTAAACGTTTTTCATTTTTGTCAATGTTGGAAGTAAGGCTACAAAGTGAATACAGTATCAAAGAAGTAAATAGTAAAAGAGTTATGCTTGTGTGTTTACATTATGCGGTGCTAAACTGGTGCAACAGCTGCTACTTCCTATGAATTATGAAATTATCGGATCCAGAATAGCGTCGGCCCTGCCATAACTTATTAATTCATTTTGCTAAAGGTCGCGTTTTTGTTGTATTTGTAGTGGTCAGAACATGTTTTTGTTGATGTTTCCACCGAAACACGAAACAAGAGAGGATGCGGCAGGAACAAATATTAATGTAATTTCGTCAAGACATATTATCTTCTAAAACAAAAAACGTTACAGCTGCCAAAAATTTAAACTTCGTCGGTGGATTGTGTTTCAGTCCTGATTTTGAAAGCCGATACTTTGATAAAAATAATACTCGGTTTAAATTTCGTCTTTGTTTCAAGTTAGATCAGGTTGTTTGTTCTTTTATTATATAAAATTATATATGTATAAAAAACCGAAGGAGAAGAATGTCTTGTAGAAGATTGATAACACAGATTTTGACGTTTCGAGCGTAGGCTAAGGAAATTTTGTAATAGGACCCATGTATTTCTTATTTGAGAAAAAAAAAAGAGAACGGGTGGGGCTAAGTTTAACTTTTCCTTACTGAGTGTTTTATAGCCAAGAAAGAGCCCCGCCCACCCACCCCCTCTTCATTCTGGTGACCACTCTTAATTCTGCGTCTCCTGAGAACTTGTTTGATCTGCAAACCAGAGCGCACTCAGGCCAATGTCGACTCTAAGCGTTCAGAAACGACTTGATCTATAAGCCATAATATTTCGATTTTTCAATTTTTAAATTTTATAAACTCCAGTTTTTCTATTCTTTAGTTTTTCTTTTATTTTTCATTTTTTCGAAATTTCAGTTTTGCGATTTTCCAGATTATTTATTACTCAATTTTTCGATTTTCCAATTTCTCAATTTTTTCAATTTCTCGATTTTGAATTTTTCCATTTCTCAGTTTTCCGAAGTTTTAATTTTACGTTTTTTAAATTATCTGGTTTTTGGAATTTTTCAATTTTTAGGTTTTTGAATTTTAAATTTTTTAAGATTTTGGGTTTCCGAATTCACTTTTTTGACTTTTCGATTTCTCAGTTTTCCGATGTTACAGTTTTATGTTTTTTCAATTTATCTTTTCAATTTTTCTATTTTTTAATATTTCGATTTTACGATTTCAATTTTTTAATTTCTCGATTTTTCGAAATTTCAGTTTCGGGATTGTTCAGTTTATTTATTATCCAGTTTTTCGATTTTACAATTACTTAATTTTTCAATTTCACGATTTTCAATTTTCGGAAGTTTCAATTTTACGTTTTCCAATTTTTTCCGCTTCAATTTTACGATTTTTAAATGTTTTTAAATGTTTGGTTTTTGCAATTTTTCAAATTTGACAAATCGAGAAACTGAAAGATTACATTTTTTCGATTTTTCGGTTCTTCAATTTTTCAAATTTTTGGTTTTTGATTTTTCAATTTTTTAAGGTTTTGGGTTTTCGACTTCTCTTTTTGACTTTTTGATTTCTCAATTTTTCGAATTCGTACTTTCTCAATTTTTGGATATTTCAGTTTTGAGATTTTTCAGTTTTTCCATTCTCTAGTTTTTCTTTCATTTTTCATTTTTTCGAAATTTCAGTTTTGGGATTTCCCAGATTATTATTAATTGTACGATTTTTCAATTTTTCAATTTTTTAATTATTGACTTTTCTAAATTCTCAATTTTTCGATTTTTTCGATCATTTGATGCTTTGATTTTCCATTTCTTGACTTTCGACTGTTTCGATTTTCCTGTTTCTTCAATTTTTCGATTTTTCACGTTTTTGATTTTTGAATTTTTCGGTTGTTTGAACATTTCGATTTTTCGACTTGACTTTTTCGATTTTTCGCTATCTCAATTTTTCAGTTCATCAATTTCTCAGTTTTTGGATATTTCAGTTTTGAGATTTTTCAGTTTTTGGATTTTTCAATATTTCGATTCTTAGATTTTCGATTTTGACTTGTAGATTTTTTGTTCCTTCGATTTTTTTATTTTTTCGGTTTTTAAATTTTCGATTTTCCAATTTTTTTCATTTCAATTTTAATGTTTTTTTTTGCAATTTTTCGTTTCTTCAATTCTTCAATTTTTCAAATTTTTAGGTTTTTGATATTTCAATTTTTTAAGTTTTTAGGTTTCTTGTTGACTTTTCTTTTTTGACTTTTTGATGTCTCAATTTTTCAGTTTGTTAATTTCTCAGTTTTTGGAGATTTCAGTTTTCAGATTTTTCAGTTTTTCCATTCTTCAGTTTCTCTTTCATTTTTCAATTTTTCGAAATATCAGTTTTGGGATTATCCAGATTATTATTTATTATTATAAAATTTTTCGATTTTCCAATTTCTCAAATTTTTTCAATTTTTCGATTTTGAATTTTTCGATTTCTCAATTTTCCGATGTATTAATTTTACGTTTTTTCAATTTTTCTCTTCAATTTTACAATTTTTCAATTTTTGACTTTTCTGAATTCTCAACTTTTCGATTTTGCAATCAATTGATGCTTTGATTTTCCTATTTCTTGACTTTCGAGTGTTTCGATTTTCCAGTTCTTCAATTCGTCAATTTTTTGGTTTTCAGATTTTTCAATTTTTCTGTTTTTTAAAGTTTCGATTTTCCGACTTCACTTTTTTGATTTTTCGATTTCTCAATTTTTCAATTCTTTAATTTCTTGATTTTTGGATATTTCATTTTTGGGATTTTTCAGTTTTTCTATCATTTTTCAGTTTTTAGAAATTTCAGTTTTGAGATTCTTCAGATTATTATTATCCAATTTTTTGATTTTACAATTACTCAATTTTTCAATTTCACGATTTTCAATTTTTCGGTTGGCAATTTTCCTATGTTTAAATTTTACGTTTTTCCAATTTTTTTCCGCTTCAGTTGTAATGTTTGGTTTTTTGAAATTTTTCGTTTCTTCAATTATTCAATTTTTCAAATTTTTAGGTTTTTGATTTTTCAATTTTTTAAGGTTTTGGGTTTCTTGTCGACTTCTCTTTTTTGACTTTTTGATTTCTCAATTTTTCAATTTGTTAATTTCTCAGTTTTTGGAGATTTCAGTTTTCAGATTTTTCATTTTTTCCATTCATTTTTTCTTTCATTTTTCAATTTTTCGAAATTTCAGTTTTGGGATTTTTCAGATTATTTTTCAATTTTTCGATTTTTCAATTTTTCAATTTTTCAATCATGTATTGACTTTTCTAAATTCCCAATTTTTCGTTTTTTTCGTTTAATTGATGCTTTGATTTTCCCATTTCTTGACTTTCGATTGTTTCGATTTTCCTGTTTCTTCAATTTTTCATTTTTTCAGGTTTTTGATTTTTGGATTTTTGGATTTTTTGAAGAATTCGATTTTTCGACTTCACTTTTTTGATTTTCGTTTTCTCAATTTTTCAATTCATTAATTTCTCAGTTTTGGATATTTCAGTTTTGAGATTTTTCAGTTTTTCAATATTTGAGTTTTTGGATTATTCAATATTTCGATTCTTAGATTTTCGATTTTTGACTTGTAGATTTTTTGGCGCGTCGATTTTTTAATTTTTTCGATTTTTAAATTCTCGATTTTTCAATTTTTTTGATGTTTAATTTTTCAATTTTAAAAATTTTCGATTTTTCGATTTCAGTTTCAATTTTTCAAATGTGTCGATTTTTCGACTTCCCGCTTTTAGATTTTCTGTTTCTCAATATTTTGTTTTTTTAATTTTTCAATGCTACGATTTCCCGATTTATCGAGATTTAGATGTTTCGATATTTTCGATTTATTAGTGCTTCGATTTATAACTTTTCGATTTTTTATTTTGGCCTATTTCGGTTTCTCAGTTTTTTCATTTTTCCGTTTTCTCGGTTTCATATTGCTCCGCTTTTAGACTTTTCGATTTTCCAATTTTTCAACTTTCAACTTTTTGTTTTCTCGATTTTGTAATTCGGTTCGATTTTCGAGTTTTCCGATGTTTCGATTTTCAATTTTTCGATTTTTAAATTTAGGCATTTTGATTTATCGATTTTTCGTTTTTCAGTTCTTCGATATTTCTATTTTTCAATTTTTCGATTTTTTAAATAGTACATTTTTCGATTTTTCAATTTTTCGATTATATTAAGGTATCTTGAAAATATTAAGCTGGTGTTAAATAAGTATACCAGACGCGAGAAATCATATTTAAAAACAATATCGCTGATGCTCCCCCCATTCGCAATAAGCTCCACCTTAATAAATCATTTCATTGGCTCGGAAAGGAGAGGCGGCATTTACAATTGTATTTCATTGCGTCTACTTTATATGATTTTTATTACTGACTTGTAAATGCTGGCGGAAACCGTTTTTCTTATTAATTTCTTGTAAAGAATTAAGTATTTTCCAGTTAAGCTCCGCCCTCTTGGTTCACGGCGAATAAAAAAAATCATCACAATTGAGACAGGGCGGGTGGGTGGGCTTACATTTGTACAATAAAAATTACTACTCCTATTATATTTTAGGACCTGTGCAAAACAAAATTTTATAACCTTAATAAATTTATTAATATTAATATTATTATTGATGTTAGTGGTGCCATTTACTACAACGTGACACCTGGTATGCGAGCGAAAGTGAAACCTCGATTGACGTCAGAATGGTTTATTATCCGTTCCCCCCCAGCAGACTTCCCAGAGCGTGGCTCGAGATGTCCGTCTTGGTGGCCGGTCCTCCGGGTCCGCCGGGCCCGCGCAGCCCCACCTGAGTAACGTTTTTCGCGGGTTTCTGCTGAAAAATCCATCGAACTTTAGGTCGATATCCGCGTTCGTCAGCCGTGTAATTAACAGCCACCGAGAGGGAGTCATCGACTTTGTAAAGAATTTGACCCTCAACACGCAAACTTCCATTATTCGAATCTTGATTCTCCGAGTGTCCTCGCTGCTGGTGTATGAAACTCGTTAACACACCCTTCTCGTTCCCGGTTTCCACACTTGCAATAAAAGCGGCAATAAACAAAAAATAAACTACCGTTTGGTAGGCACTTACTCAAAAGAGTAATTTCCTAAGCCGTCGTTTTTAAAGTCGTATCTCCGTATAATGTCGCGGGGGTCGGATGCGGCTGCGAAAACAGTGACGAGGATAATGGACAGAGCTACACAGAACTGGAAAAATCGGGGATTAGTCATGGGGAAGGTGGTCACGTTGACCTTAGCTATTTTTAAATTTAACTGTACTTACGTTTGGCATGGTGCTGGGAGCGTGCGTGAAACTAGTATGGTTTGGAGTTTCTTGGAAAGATCATGGTTTTATGGGATTCATTGCAAAGCGGTTTGCCATTTGCGGATAAGGTACTGACGAAATTAAGAGATTACGTGCGGTTTGGATGATCACCTTCCACTACTTTGTTGTGATGGGAGGAAGGCATTCTACTACAGACGAAGGACAACTACAATGTTGATACTTTAGGAAAACTGGGTCCAGCAGTCAATCACACCACTCATTTATTAAAGCTTGTACGGAATTTAATAACAAACCACAAGTTGTACACATGGTTTTACTTCTGAATTAAATTATGGGAGGCGCTACAACGCTGTTGTTTTTCGTAGCACGTGAAATCCAAAAATGTAGGCGTCAGACATTTTATGAGACAGACAACCCTGTACAGTTTTTTGTAATTTATTGTTTCTAGTTTGAAAGTATAAGGAACATGTCTTATTGTTTGTACATTTCTCGAATAGTCTGATCATGTTCCTTAAGGGGACTCACTAGACGAGGTATAAAATTTTTTTGGTTTTTTGTATGAAAAAATGATATTAATATAGATGTATCATACATCAAACTGCAGCTTTTTTCATATTCTAGAGCGCAGAGACCAGTTCAATCAATTAAAAAAATATGACTGAGAAATATCGTAAAAAAAGCACCATTGTATTTTATTTTTTTCAAGTTTTTTGAGTCATAACCATCATAGAATCGCTTGAAAATTCGCACATACAGGCCGCAGAGTCATTGAATGTTTGTGAGTGGTACAATTTGTTTAGATAATAATGTGTTTTTTAAAATCAAAATATACCACAAATTAATGCAAAATACGTCGAAGAATTTTAACAGGAATATCAGAGGAAAATTAATGATCTATTGGTTAGCAGAGTTTTTAACAAAAACTAACAATTATTGAAAAAAATGGGTATCAATTCGACAGATTTTGAGCCGTTAGTTCAGTACTTTGCCGATAGGAGCGCCACAAAAATTTACGGAAGCGACTTTCCAGGTAAAATCCTTATCGCCTGCTCTACCATAAGCTGATTGTTAGAGTTCTCGGATGATTTTTCTAATTCATGCCAAGGAACTCAGTTTTATAACAAGCCGCCAGGACCGGCCGTAGTAATCTATTAACTTTTACGCAATGAGGTACTATCATAAAACCGAATTAAAACTGGGGGACTATAATATTTTTACTCCACTCAGGATCCTGAATTCAATACACATGATTACTAAAAATTCATTGTAATATTATTGTTAATATATATTTTACTTTGTTAATTAATAAAACTAATAAACATCTTTATAATAATAATAAAAAATATATAAAATACAGCTTTTGTTTAACGCGTATAAGTAGCTAAGTGTATCTACCACTTGTCCCAGAAAGGAGGTGTTTTAAAAAAGCCCTACGCCCACTAACTTCTCCCTTCATTGTTTACTAGAAAAAAGTGCTCGTATATGTTTTCATTTGCCGAGAGATCATTTTCAAAATATATTTATAATAAAAATAAGCAAGTCTTGGTGATGAAAAATGTACTCCTAATAAATTATTAAAGTACATAAAAAAATTGAAACAAATTTTAATTTTTGACTTTGAGATTTTTCTATTTTTTGATTTCCTCATTTCCCGAGCTTTCAATTTTTTGATTTTTCTATTTTTTGACAATTTTTGGTATGTACTTCTAATTTTCGATTTTCCAATTTTTCGATTTTTCGACTTGACAATTTTTCGATTTTTCGACATTTCAGTGTTCGATGTTCGAATTTTGGGATTTTTCAGTTTACCGATCCTTTAATTTTTTCTTCGATTTTAGAATTCTTCGATTTTTTATTTAGCGATATTTCAGTTTTACGATTTTTCAATTTCTCAACTTTTCAGTTTTTCGATTTATCAATTTTTCAGTGTTTCAGTTTAAGGATTTTTCAATTCAACCGATTCCTTAATTTTTTCTTCGATTTTACTATTTTTCGATTTATCGATTTATCAGTTGTCTGGGTTTTTTCAATTTTTCGGCGTTCCAATTTTGGGATTTTTCAATTTGCCGATTCTTTAATTTTTTTTTCAATTTTTCTGCGATATTTCAGTTTTACGATTTTTCAACTTTACAGTTTTTCAATTTTTCAATTTATCCATTTTTAGATTTTTCAATTTTTTAAATTGTCGATTTTTCGATTTCTCAATTTTCCGTTATTTCAGGTTTAGGATTTTTCAATTTTTTGATTTTTCGACTTTTTGACATTTCAATTTCTCCATTATTTTCCAGTTTTTCGATTTTTGGTTTTCCCATTTCTCAAGTCTTGTGCATTTTTCAATTATTCAACTTTTCAATTTATCAACTTTTAGATTTTTCAATTTTTTAAAATGTCGATTTTTCGATTTATCGTTTTTCAATGTTTCCGTTTTGGAGTTTTTCAATTTTTCGATTTTTTAATTTTTCCTTTGATTTTGTAATTTTTCGATTTATGGATGTATCAATTTTTCGATATTTCAGGTTTGAGATTTTATAATTTTTCGATTTTTCAGGTTTTAAATTTTTTGACTTGACGATTTTTCGACTTTTCAGTGTCTAGAATTTTTCGATTTCACAGTTTTCCGATATTTCACTTTTACAATTTTTCAACTTTTCAATTTTTGGCGTTTCTAAATTTGCAATTTTTCGATTTCTCAACTTTTCGATTTGTGTTTTATGGCTTTAAGATTTTTCTATTTTTTGATTTCCTCATTTCTCGACTTTTAAAATTTTCAGTTTCTCGATTTTTCGATTTCTCAAATTTCCGTTATTTCAGGTTTAGGATTTTTCAATTTTTTGATTTTTCGACTTTTTGACTTTTCGATTTCTCCATTATTTTCCAGTTTTTCGATTTTTGATTTTCCCATTTCTCAAGTCTTGTGGATTTTTCAATTTTTCTACTTGTCAATTTATCAACTTTTAGATTTTTCAATTTTTTAAATTGTCGATTTTTCGATTTATCGTTTTTCAATGTTTCCGTTTTGGAGTTTTTCAATTTTTCGATTTTTTAATTTTTCAACGTTTCAGTTTTGAATTTTTTCACTTTTCCGATTCTTCAATTTTCTTTCCATTTTTCAGTTTTTCAAGATTTCAGTTTTGATTTTTTTCACTTTTTCGATTTTTCAATTTTCCTTCCATTTTTTAGTTTTTCAATATTTCAGTTCTGGGATTTTGCAATGTTTCGGTTCTTCAATTTTTCCATTTTTTGATGTTTCGATTTCTCGGTTTTTCAAGTTCTAGATTTTCCGTTAATTTTTTTGTTTTCCTTGATGTTTTGATTTGTCGATTATTCAATTTTTCAAGTTCTCGGTTTAGACTTTTTGGTTTTCCAATTCTTCGATTTTAAAATTGTTTAATTTTTAGATTGTTCAATTTCTCGATTTTTCAATTTTTCCGTTTACCGATTTTTTTTCAATTAAAATGTTTCAATTTTTCAATTATTAACTTTTCGATTTTTCAATTTTGGTCTAATTTGATTTCTTAATTTTTTGATTTTTTGACTCCTCTACTGTTGATGTTTGGATTTCTCGATGTTTCAGTTTTTGAACATTCCGATGTTTCGATTTTTCGACCTTTTGGCTTTTCGAGTGTTCAATTTTTTAATTTTTGAATTTTGGATTTTTATTTTTTTGATTTTTTTGGTGTTTCGATTTCCCAATTCTTCAATTTTTCGATATTTTAATAAAATATTTTAATTAAATATTTGCTTTTTAAATAAATATTGAAAAATGAAAATAACGTGAAACTAGGCAACCCTATTTACAAAGGATCCGTTTCAATCCATGTTTCAATTAAAAAAAAATAATAATAACAATAAGGACCTTCAACATTCTTTTACATAAAAAATACTACAAAACTTCCGGAGATTCTTTTAAATACTAAAAAAGACACTCAAGGCCCGAGATTCTTCTAAAGTCTTTCAAAAAAAGGGGTGCGCGGGCGGGGCTAATTTGAATTTTTTTAATAATAAATTGAATCACTTCACAAAATTTAATTCAATTTTCATCCCATACTAAATAAAATAAGCCAATGAAATACAGATACGGAAGTGGGTGGAGTTAATTTTACCTTTTTCAAATAACATACCCGCTGAGAAAATAGGGTGAGGGTGGGCGGGGCTAGTACTTGCTAAGATAGACTTATTTAATGGTTAAAATAGTACATTTTTGTACGGAAAAAAAACTACACATACTAAAACAAAAAGACAAAATGTAAACCCGTCCACCCGCCCTATCTCAATTGTGACCAGAAAAAAAATCGGGTGGGCGGGCGGGGCTAATCTGAATTTTTTTAATAATAAATTGGATCACTTCACAAAATTTAATTCAATTTTCATCCCATACTAAATAAAATAAGCCAATGAAATACAGATGCGGACGTGGGTGGAGTTAATTTTACCTTTTTCAAATAACATACCCTCTGAGAAAATAGGGGGAGGGTAGGCGGGGCTAGTACTTGCTAAGATAGACTTATTTAATGGTTAAAATAGTACATTTTTGTACGGAAAAAAAAATCTACACATATTAAAACAAAAAGACAAAATGTAAACCCGCCCACCCGCCCTATCTCAATTGTGACCAGAAAGAAAATCGGGTGGGCGGGCGGGGCTAATTTGAATTTTTTTAATAATAAATTGGATCACTTCACAAAATTTAATTCAATTTTCATCCCATACTAAATAAAATAAGCCAATGAAATACAGATGCGGAAGTGGGTGGAGTTAATTTTACCTTTTTCAAATAACATACCATCTGAGAAAATAGGTTGAGGGTGGGCGGGGCTAGTACTTGCTAAAATAGACTTATTTAATGGTTAAAATAGTACATTTTTGTACGGAAAAAAAATCTACACATACTAAAACAAAAAGACAAAATGTAAACCCGCTCACCCGCCCTATCTCAATTGTGACCAGAAAGAAAATCGGGTGGGCGGGCGGGGCTAATCTGAATTTTTTAAATTATAAATTGGATCACTTCACAAAATTTAATTCAATTTTCATCCCATACTAAATAAAATAAGCTAATGAAATACAGATGCGGAAGTGGGTGGAGTTAATTTTACCTTTTTCAAATAACATACCATCTGAGAAAATAGGTTGAGGGTGGGCGGGGCTAGTACTTGCTAAAATAGACTTA